CACATGGCGCGAACGGAATGGACGACACGTATTAGCGATACGACAAAGTCTGTAATGGCGAGCACGACAATGCCGAGAGCCATTACATTGTAGTAGTGCAGTGTGCCTCTCGCACCGCCACGCCCACGGCGGAGGGTGCTTGTGTCTTTATGTGATTGTGCGCGTGCGTACAGTGTGCGTGTGCGTGTGTGTGTGTGTGTGTGTGAGCGCGAGTTAAAGAGAGACGGAGACAGTCGGTGAGCCTGCCGGCAGCAGCCAATAAGTCATGTCAACGACAGCAAAGCATAAAGACATGCATGTGCGCTGCTTCCTGTGCGTCTCAATGTGTTTGTCGCTTGAGTTGTCCACTCTGCTCCGCGGACGACTTATGCTGGACAGACCAAAAAAATAAAGAAATATATTAGAGGAAAAGAGAAAAAAAGTATAGAAATTGTGAATCTTAAATCCAACATTATGCAGACATAAAATCTTGTTGCGCATGCAGTTCGCACATGAGATAGACATACACTACACTTTAATTTAACGGCTAACAACGCTATGACGGTGCGCTAATATTTTATTTTGTTGAGCAGCGGTAATGAGCACGTAAAAGAGTACCTGAAAGATCAAAAATTTGGGCATTTTATCAAGTAAGCCAAAGGACCAGTCGTGCCTATTTTACACTCCCGTTTAGTTTAGAGTAAAAGTTCATAGTAATTTTTCTTTAAAAAATGTGATAAATCTCGTCTTTTGATAGCTCTGTTGTTCTAATTTGAGTTTCTCTGCGGTTTTTTTCAATGATGACCGCGTAACAATACTAGGCCAAAGGAAACACATCCTTTATTTAAGATATTTATTGTAAGTCGACAAATTATGGGACCTCAACGCCTGCGAAACTCCGAGTAGGCCATCCTGCAGTACACGCACGCACAACAGAAAAGATTTTGCCTACCTAGCAAGCGCTCTGAGCGTTTATATCGGCTGAAACTTGTCAGTTCCGAAACGGCGACTAACGGACGTACTTTCTCGATGACCCATAACGTATAACACGTTACCGTTAAGATGGATTTTTGTAAAATTATTGTAAAAGGAGTCTAATTATTGGGTTAAGATGTTTTACAACAATAAGAAATGCAACAACAATTGTAAATTAAAATATATGTTTATAACAATTTTGAGTAAGCATGGTTTATCAGTCCACGTGCCACTATGGTACACAAATCTATATAGGAAGCAAAGGGTGTGGGCTTTCGCTTAAAAATAACCCGCGGTGTGTGCGTGCGCGCAGTGCACACAGACACACATACGTACACTCACACACACACACACACACACACACACACACACACACACACGATTGCATCGGACAAGAGAGGCCTTGTTCCAATGTCAAGAATACAACAGACAGCTACACTCGCACACAGCGCACCCACACCCGGGTACACCCGGGGTACACACACATACACCCGCCCTGCTGCCGCGTCCCACCCGAAGGCCCCCCAAGGCCAGAGCGGCTCTCCAGCCAGACGCCCAAAGAGCAGAGCAGCTCAGCCACTTCCTCATGAGGAAAGAGAGAGATCCAGAGAGAGAGAGAGAGAGGG